TTACTGGTTAATAAAGCAGTCAGATATACCATCTTTACTTGTTTAATTGTTTTTGTATGCGATGTTTAGTCTTTTTACTGTGCTAAAACTGCTAAATGGTGTAGGTAGCCTGGGAGCATGAACAGTTTTCAAGGTTGAGAGTCACTGCAGCAACACTATCTGAACTTTCTGCTGCACCTGAATTACTGGAAAGCACAGGACATCTGGCTGATAACAGGTTGTGGCTTAGCTTCTAATACCTCTTTGTTCTATTTTTGTATCTTCTCTGACGGCCATTTGCTGAACTCCTGGTTTCCTGTGTAGACATTTTGTCAGTGAAGCCTCAATCATACGAAGTGTCAAGCTTGTTGCTGAAAGTCTAGCGGTAAGGACTTTAGCCTACCTCTTTTCCCCTGGAGTACGAAATTTTTGTCTCAGCCGTTGCAACTTCTAATTTTGTACACTGAAAAAACCTTTAACTTCCAATAATGAAGTTCTCTTCTATATGAGAAATAAGCAGTGGCAGTCTAACCGTAAACTTGAGAAAGAAAGACAGGAACTTTTTGGCCTCTTATAGGTCTGGTCTTGTCATGCATTATCCTTTTGAGACATAGTCGATTCTCATCTACATATTCTGTTCAACATCAAAAAGCATAACTTTATAATTTGAAGTATGATCATACTTCTGAGACTATTGGGCAGATAGTGGTTGCAGTCTTGGTTTTTCTTGTGGTTTTGGGGATCTCTTGATGTTATGCTAGCGGAACTAGTCTATAGCTAATAAAATCAGTTTAAATCATAATTTAATAGCTACCCTTAATCTAGAATAATTCCAGAGTTGCTCTTCTTTGAAGTTCTCTTCAGGTTTCCCAAGTTTACAATTGAGCTCAGGCCTAATAGTCTGGAAATTTTCTGCTGGTTCATGAGTATTATTGCATCTTTTCCTTTAATTAATTAAATGAGCAACATGATTGAATTTTTAGTATCGGCTTGTATATGGGGGTTCCCCCATCATTAATTAAACTATTTACCTTATCAAAAAGAGAGAGATTGAATTTTGAGTAGTTCTGTCAGTATATATATTTGAGATTTTCTGGAGGAGGACTTTATGAAAGATGTATTTATTGTCTTCATTACATTGCTTGGTCCTTAGCGTCAAGGAAAATTCCTGATTGTGATATGCATCTTCTGCATCATTTTTTTCTTTGGGGTGGGGAGACTGTATTTCAGAGGATGATCATTTTGCATTAATATATGTAGGATGTTGTTTTGCATGTCTTCTATTATAGAGAACAGATGATTTTGATATCCTGAATTACTTCTGAAGAGAAGAGTGGGGTGATTGATCAGCTGGTTCAGAATTTTAGATTACCAAAAAACATTTTTCATATATGTTTCTTTCTCCTTTATTCTGCAGCTTCATGTGACTCAGTTTTTTGTAAACCTTCTTTTAGGTAATCAGAAATCTGTTCTGGTATTTTGCTTATTTCAAACATTTGTCTTAACATGAAGTGAGCTGTCTCATGCATTAGGAATACCGCTTTTTAGCAGACAACAGTAGTTTCACAAGTTTGTTTAACAAATTTCTTTATATGCAGAGACACATTTATAACCAGGAGCAGAAAAACATAAGCATATTTGCAGACGATAGTAGTTTAGCCGTCAATCCTTCCTACATAAGGTCTTGGCTAGATCTTTTATCTACAACACCTCGAGTGGCACCTTTTCTTTCAAAAAATGACCCGCTTATTAAGGCACTGGAAAAGGTATGTTAGAGGCATGTTACGCTTAAATTTTGTGTTTAGTTAATTGTTTCTTTTTTCCCTTTCAAATAGTCTCATAATTTCTTGGTTGTATATTATAAAGGACATCTTCGTGTATATCACTATCGCTCATTATGATGGCCTGCCTTTGTCATTTTGCTTTGGCAATTAATGTTTCTGACTTTATTTTCTCTTATATATATGACCCTAGTATACACTTTAATTACCGACATAACTCAATTTGAGTTTCTTAAGGTGGTATCTGTACCTCTTAGTTTCTTGTTTTGACCAATATGTGCTCTCAATGTCTGCAGGAATTAGCTGATCATACTGCAGAGGTGAATGTACAGCATGAGACTCTAGATGGAATGTTCACTTTTTACGATTCAACTAGTGGCAAGTTGCATATATATCAGGTGCGTAAATATCTCCACATTTTCTGTTAGCTTTGCTCATGGCATCCTAACATTATGGAAATAATTGTACTGTCTGTAACAATTCGAAATGCAAGTTGCATATACAACAACAACCCAGTAATAATCCCACTACTGGGGTCTGAAGTTGCATATATATATATATATATATATTTTTTTTTTTTTTTCCACCCTTTCTTTTAGCCTTGCCCCTGGCTAATACTTGTATAATTCTGTAAAACTTTAAAATGCAAATATCTACTTAAGTAAAATGATCAAAAATATTTTTGTTTAATTTTCTCGGAGTGCCCCCAATGTTACCAAGAAGTTACTAATTCTGACCTACCATTAGAAGCAAATGACTTCTCTTCAGCTTGTGGGATGCAGAAAGATAAAGGAGACACAGGAATAATTGTGAGGTTTGCTTTTCGAGGGACCAGTTTTTACAGTAGTATACATGTTTGCATATAGTTCACTCTGTTTTTTCACACTCCAAAGAGTTATTATATGGGCATAGAGTGTCGTATTTGCACAGCCCTCTTCTTGCAGCAGTATTCCATGTTTCATGTTGTGATGAATATGTGCATCTCCAACCACTTATTTTCATCAAGAAAAATAAAGGAATTATCTCTGAGACTCTGACCACTGTGGTTTCAACATTTAGGACCTATTGTTTTAACTCAAAGTTTTCCTATTTCACTGATTGCTTATTTTATGCCTTACTGGTCCATACTTTTTGTTTAACACCCATATCTATATAGTCAATTGTGTCTGCTTGTTAATCGTCTGCAGTTAAATCTACATTTCTTCAGTTATTTACCTGTACAAATAACTGATTAAATTGTTCTCATTGCAGGTTGCCAGCGTGACATTTGACTTGCTTTTGCTGTTGGTACTAGGATCATACTTGATTACACTTTTCAGTTTTCTTTTTATCACCACCAGGGTACGTCTTCTGGTTTTACTTGATCCTGATTCCCTTATCTTGGTTACAAATTTTGTGCTGTTCCGAACACAACCATTTTATTACAGAGACGAAAACTTCCTTGTTTTATTGTACCAATTAAAATATGTAAATATAAAGAAAAGAAAACTGAATATAAACTCATCTAACCAATCTGATGTTATTGCTAAACAGGGTCTTGACGATCTTATTAGTCTATTTCGTCGTCCCCCATCACGGAAAGTAAAAGCTGCTTAATTCCTGAAGCAGGACTTCTCTGCATCAGGTGCTTGCAAATCAAGAAGCAGGTGTTTCTTTTTTGTAACCTTAAGGAAGATTGTCTTGACCTAGTTGCTTCCTATTGATACTGTGGTCCAACAATCATATTTTAAACTTTTAGCATTCGATGGAAAAGTTCCACTTTTGCTTTGACAAATCAATAGGGTAATGCAGTCATTTTTTTCTGCTGAGATGAGGATGTAATTCTCACAGGCGGCTTTTCTCATAGAATTAGCAGTCCTAAAATTTAATCTTGCTGATGTATCAATTTTGACAGAATGTATTTATGTTCTGAAAAGGCTCAGGAGAATTTGCTCTGTTAGAAGATCATTCGTTTGCTGACAAACTAGATTTTTGTATTAATTGTCTTGCTTTGAAATAGCTCCTTCCATGTTGAAAGTATGCATATTGTATTGAAAGGCCACATCTCGAATTCAAACTGCAAAACGAGGATATTGGTGAACTACTTTGTCTTTGATATTTGCTCGTACCTTCTTTATCACCCATTTTCCATCCCATGTTACTCGGTTTGAGATTTACTTTCACAAGGTCGGGGTAAGGCCTGCGTATACACTATCCTCCCCCGATCACACGTGTGGAATTACATTGGATTTGCTGCTGTTGTTATGTTTGTACCAATCTAATGAATACATGAGACATGTATTCACATACACTAATTATTAAGTTATAGTTAATTAATATACATTTGCATCTTATTTAACGCCTAAATATGATAAATTGGTATTTCGGTGTAAACATCAAGTGCGGGTTAAAATTTACCGGAGAAGACCTTACCGTTGTGGTATCGTAGTGTTTCCTTAGCAATTTGTTTATGGATACAAAGTGGCAGAAGAGCTTTTTTCCCCTCATTTTTGCTTGCTTTTAATTAGTTGCCAACAAGGGTTTCACTGGTTTTATGTCGATCTTTTTGGCGAACGCAGAATATCAGCAGGATAATTTTTCATCACTAAACAAGTTCATATCATTTAGTTTTATTTTTTGTTCCTTTTTTTTTTTTTCTTTTTCGCATTTCTCCTTTCTTTCCTTCTCATTTACATAGACACAATCACCAACATCCCAACTCTAGTCTACTATCTTTTTTATTTATTTTGAGTTGATTTTGGTACGAAAACTATCTCTTTTGATTGATGTTGAAACAATATACATATATTTAGTACTCTTTATGTAATGTTAAATATATTAATTCAAATTCTTTAGGAAGAAGACAAGAATTCGACGTCTTCATTCATGGCTAAAAATTAGATCCGTTCGAGCTCGCGCTTCCGTCACAGTCTCTTTCGGAGAATAATACATTGTGCAGGAAAATTGTGAAATTTTCCTTTACTCTCCATTGTACTGGATTTTTGCCTTTCTGACTCTAAAAATTGCAACTCCCACATTATTATATTTTTTGGAGAATTTTAAAACAATTTAACTTTAAACTTCCAAAATGCAAGTTCAATATTTTCCTCCCACTCGAGTAAGAAAAGAAAAAGTACTCAGAAGAGTTAACTTTCTATCTGGAAAACATAAAATCTCCTCTCCCCCCCCCCCCCCCCCCCCAAATATTTCTTTCCATTCGGCTTATCACAACACAATTGTTGCAAATACCAAAGCTGAAAATGCAAGTACACAGTCCGCATGATTGCCTATTATTTAATGAACATAAAGCTCAAGAACATAACTGACTAGTAAAACCAGACATTGCATATAAGGTAAATTACAAATCTGAACAAGTAAACTGACTAATAGTCTAATACTACTATACAAAATGGGTCTCAAAGATATTATAAACAGAAGGAACCCGATAGACAGACGCTCGAAGCCATCTTTCTGCCAGTAACATTGTTTTAATGAGATTTCAACAAGTGAGGCAGTTCCTCTGTTTATCATGTATGATGAGTATTGGAAATAGCGCGATACACCGTGTCAATGAATTGATCATCCTGTTATGGAAATAGAGGTAACATCAGATGCATAAAGAGACCAGTGAATTATACGATTATCAAATCATGAATCCTAATAGGGAAAAATGTCATAACAGGAGTAACCATAAAATCCTCTAGCTAATCAACTAATTACATCAATAAATTATGAGCTCGGGATACTACCTTACTCCCTCCAATATTTAATTTTGTGGACTCCATAACTAGTTTTCTGGGCCAAAAAAAAAATTAAAAAAAAGCAAGAAAAAAAGCAAAAATATGAAGTCCTTATAACCTTGGCAAGTTCCTATTCACCCAGTCCCTCAATACTTACTAGAGTTTTAACATACTGTCGGGACTTGTATTTTCGAGTCATATTATTTGCCATACTTATAATCTTTTGCCAACTTCTAATGGCTTCTCAAGAACAAGGTGATAACAAATTAACTACTTGGCATGTCTTCTAAGTCAAGGTACCTATGTTTTTTTGTTTTTCTTGTTTCGGTGCAAAGTAGAAAAAAACATCAAGGAACTACCATTACCGAGTATGTAGTGTGGTAAGAAAGCTATAGTCTACACTGTTATATTGCTTCAAACTTTGTTTTATCCGACTCTGTAGTCGGGACTGTCTAGAGCTTTTGTGTTACTCACATTATTCCAGTTTGATGCGAAAAATAGGATTTTCCTGGATGTCCTAAAACTAGGCCACATTGATGCGAAATAGGATTTTCCTTTCCAAAACGGCCCTTCAATTCTAAGATAACCGACATGACTCTTGAAGTTCCATTTGCTTTTTTTTATCAAATAATACTGAAGACATTCACCAATTTTTATTGAGGGCAGATAAGGAAGCTGAGGTCAGAGAGAAATTGCAGCTGAGGGTAGAGGAGAATTTTGCTAACAACTCTGCCCCTTTCTGCCCCAAAATTCAAGGGTTATACAGTGAATTGGACAACCCTCTATTATTCTACATGAGCAAGGGGATGTAAGGACTTTCAGTAGCACTTGAAGGCAAAGGACAGATTTCTGTCAACTTCAACTAACAGAACTCAAGGTGGCAATGATGAGCATCAGCAACCCCAAAGTGAAGCAAGTATTTTGAGGACACGAACAACTGGGCATGGAACTCTTACTATGTGGCTCATGCAGTCACAACACGAGGAAGAGAAATTTAAGTGTGGAACTCTCATCAGGGGAAGGAGAGGTCTGCGAACGTAAAGATGGAAAAGAGAGGAAATGAGGACAGATCGGAGACAATTAAGGGGAGCGAGAGGGAGTTGGGCATGGGCGGAGAGCGTCGGGTGCCAAAATGGACGGGGAAGAAATTTAGGGGTTCGGGATCTTTTAGACATCTCATCCAGAGATTTGAGGGAAGAACGATTCATTTATTGTTGGAGTTTGAGACATGCCCCTTCAGATAGAGTAAAACTTCTACTTTTTTGTCATTTAGCAATTCCCAGGGTATGATCCCTTATAGCTTCACATTCGGTCCTTGAGGAAGTAAGGTGCTTAATTTCAAAAGTGTAAACGTTTTTATGTTCCCCGATGGAAAGCCATCCAGACTATGTGACTCAGATAAAAAAAAATTAGGTCCTAGAGGAAGGACAGAAGCTACCAAAAACCAGTTCCAACAGAAAGACTCAAAAGCAACTGCTAGCATACTCTTCTCTCTTTCTTTTCTTTTTTCTTCTCAATTTCCCTTATTAATCTTCATAATGTGGATGTGTTCCAGCATAGTGGCAGAAGCTGCTGGAAGTTTTTTCCCCCTAAATACGCGCCCTCAGCAGACCCTCTTTGCTTTGAATGTTAATTCTCATTATGAGGGCAAATGCAAAATTTCGCATTCTGGCATATGCAATTGATTGCGAATTTATAAAACTTTAGCGCCATAAAAAAAGTTCACATAGGAAAGTAACTATCAATTCAGGTACACTTACTTGAACAAGCATCAAAAGTGCCTCACGCACTTTGCCTCTGTTAATAACAGGTCCATTGTTTGGGCTAGGAGCAGAAGTTGGAGTGAGAAATGGCGGAGGAGTGGGGGGAGGAAATGGTTGAAGCAAAGGAGCTCCGTGAGGGCGTTGTAGATTCCCAGGGGGGTGAAGTGGTGGAGCAGTAGGCACAGTTGAAGAAACAGGAGGTATCAGTGGAGAAGAGGAAGGAGGAGGACCAAAGAATGATGATGGTTTCACTAGATTTGAAGACCTTCTAGCACTGGCGTCTGGTTCGGAAGCATCAAGGGTAGGCATCAAAGGGAAAGATGTAGAAAGAGGAGGAGATGGAGGCAGTGCAGGTGCTGAAGAGGGAGGTACAGCAGCAGGAGGACGAGGAGGAGGAAGGACTGTTGCAGATGAGTCGTACGGCTGTCCCTGAACTGCAACATTTGGAGCACTCCCAATTCTCATAGCAGTCTGCAAAATGAAATGCTCAAAATTCGGTCACGTTAACACATATGTAACAAGAACATCATAATAAACAAATTTTTCATATCAAACATAGTACTCGTCTAGAAGTATCTCCACTTAAATTACTTACAACATGACCCCTATATAGAAAGGTGGAATAATGCATTGCATGAGTCAGTGATCACTTCTTTATGTGAAACAACAGGGAATCTCTGTTGGTCTTCCTTCATAGATGGATTTTGTAATGTTTTGATACGTCAAATCAAAATTCCTAAAAACAACCATATGCTTTATTAACATATTGTATGCAAAATTGTACAAAGGTATGGCTGTATGGCTAATACTTTTACAGGATTTCCTATTATAAGAATAACTGATCCCAAAGCAAAGGTTAATGACAAAAGTTATTTGACTTATGCAAGAAGAAGGATAAGCTTTGGGTCTGTTGGCTACATGCTTACTATTGGAAAGGTGATCCCATCTGGGAAATAACTTGCAAGGAAGCATCCTGGTGTCTTCAAAAGATTGTCAAGGCTGGAAAGTACCTAGACCAAGGTGGGCTCACAATAAATGAATTTCTCTCTATGGAGCACTTCTCTATCAGGAAAATATATAAGAAGCTCAGAAGTGATTTTGAAAAGGCTCCCTGGAGAAGATTAATATGTAATAGTTTTGGTGCTCCTGAATGGATATTTATTCTAAGGCTAGCTGCACATGGGAGGTTGTATACAAGGGATAGGCTGGCCCAATGGGGCATAGTCTTGCACCAGATTTGCCCCTTATGTCATCAACATAATGAAAGTATTTCACACTTGTTTTTCAAGTGTTATTGCTGCTGAGATATGGGAAAAGATGTCGGGTTGGCAGGGCATACAGAGACGAGGACTGAGTTGGAATGAAGTGCTAGCCTGGGGTATAACTTATTACAATGGTAAGAACTGCAATGCTGAATTATACAGGATGGTGCTAGCAGGCAGCGTCTACCATGTATGCGTGGAGAGAAACGAAAGGGTATTTAGGGGGAAGGAAAGAAGTTCTGCTGTTATTACTAGGGTGATTGTTCAAGATATCTTCTACAGAGCAAGCAGGAAACCTCACTTAGCTAGGATGCTGCTGAACTACAATTTTTATCCCTGAGTGGTTAGGTTTGGTGATATGGAGTTTATGCTGTTGAGAGACGATGATATGGAACTGGAACTGGAACTTTCTGTCCAATTCCTATTTTTTGCTGGTTTTTTCTTTACTCCTTGAGCTATACATATTCACAATTGGTAATAAAATTCTTTATTTACCCAGCAAAAAAAAAAAAGGACAGTTATTCCAGATCTTCCAAAAGAACTGACACATGAAAGACACTATTTTCTGTAAGACAAACACTGCATAACAGCCACATTATGTGGGAGAAAAAAGGAAAAAAAGAGCAAATAGAAGGGAAAGAAAGAGCATACACTGAAGAAATTCACAAAAGAACGATCATCTGGGACATCCGCAGTATTCGATGTAGTAGATGAAGATGGCTCCAGGGGACCATCAATTACCGACATGCTTGGAGATGCTTCCAGCTCCCCAAATTCACTGTATTAAGTTGCACAAAATCAAAAGTTCCTCTCAGAAGCCACTCAGTTGCAATTGCTTTTTTTCAGTCAACATAATATGTTGCGCAACTAGCTAAATAGGTAAACCACTCAGTTGCACAAAATCAAAAGTTCCTCTCAGAAGCCACTCAGTTGCAATTGCTTTTTTTCAGTCAATATAATATTTTGAGCAACTAGCTAAATAGGTAAACTGACCCACCAAATTATTCACCCCTCCAAAGACCGTGCAGCTTGTTTGCAACTAAAAGCTTTCACTTCTCACAAAGTAATGTCTCATTAGCTTTTTGCAGTCACTTTCACCATGCATATAGCTTAGGTTTTATGAGCATTTATAAGAAGCACCCATGGTAGGGCTAGGACCAACCCTATTCAAACAATATACAGAAGACCGAACAATTCAAAGGCCCATTCAACACCACTTGCATTTCACTAAAAGCGTAGTTTCACATCAGATACCAATGTTATCCTGCTCAGATCAGGTGGCGCCACGTAACTTTCTTCCACAGTTCTGCTGTCAAAATCATTCTGAGCACATAGATTTCGACCATATCTAGTAGCATCAACAATAATTTTAACAGCATTTGAATCTCAACTATTGGACCCCTGAAAATTCAAATAGTATCTTGTTGACCAGGTTCTTTAGGAAGGCAGTTTATTATGCTCTCTCAGTCATAGTGCAGTTCAAGATTAGCAAACAAAGGGAAGACCAAAAACTTGTTAAATGTCAAGCTAAACTACTATATCTGAAACATAAGTCAAGAAATAGACCAACGCTGAACTGTATAAAATTTAGTGTTTTAACAGTCAAAGAGAATCTATCATTTTGATCAACAAATATATTATGATTTTTATAAATATGAAATGGAATACCTCCTGTTTGATGGTAGTTTGAACTTGGTAGGCACCTTGGAATAAGCACTCAATATCCTGACCACCAGTAAAAGTCGAAACTGATTATCAGGCATAATAGGATACATATGGAAAAGAAAAGGCAAGATAAGATTGACATGGAAATCATTGCGCAGAACAACCAAAACACCTGTCTGATCCTTTCATTTCTCATTAAGGTGATAAATAGAATAAGTGGGAAGGTATGATGAGGAAGTTTTGCATTGACAAACTTGAATCTCTACCTAAAAGTTTTTTTTTTCTTTTTTCCCTGTTAATAGACGCCTCTGCCTAAAAGTTTCAAGTTCACAAAAACATATACTCAACTTCTCAATCGCTCTAAGAGAAACTTATTTGAAAATGTGAGAAGAAGATATAGGGAACCATTTCAGTTAACATACAGTGGGTAGTAAGGTAAGAGAGGAGTTGGAGGTATTTCAACTTTTGAAATTGGGAAATCCCCAAGTCAGTGGCACACGGTTCGAAACTTGGTGGATAATGGGCCCACCATCTACCTTTCTCCACTTAAATACAACGCTTTTGTCTGCGGCACGATTCGAACCATGACGTGCCCCAACCCATACATAATGTGTTCCACTCTTACAACTAGACCAAAGACCCGAGGGCAAGGAGTTGGAGGTGTTTTGGAAGGTAAAAGAAGAATGTCCCCAAGCCAGATATTAGGTGCCTCGGAAATAAAAAGGAGAACATCCCCAAGCCAAAGTAAAACTGTTTCTCTTTACTGATCAGGAAAAAGACAACGAAAACAAAGCTGCAACTTTAAATTGGAAATCATCTAATCATTCACCTACCAAAATAATGACTAGGCCGAACATACCATCCTGCTAATCTTTAGGCCATTCACTACAACAATTTCAGATGTTATAGACTGAGGTTCAAGACGGGTCCAACCTATAGGCAGCAAAACTAGTGAATTCTATTGCATAATCGCATGCATAAATTAGGTTACAAGCACATACTTCAAAAGATTGACTGCATAAACAATTGAGTCCTCAAAAAGCCACATTACGCAAATTTAGTTTCTGACATAGAATTAGCACAATGAATATTGGGGGGAGCTAAGCATACCCACACACAGAAAAAGGGGCGAGGAGAGTGGAAATGCAGGAGATTAGAAAAGAATGATTTACAACAACAATAACAACCCAGTAGAATCCCACAAGTGGGGTCTGGGTAGAAAAGAATGATTTATGGAGGGGAAAACGGGATTGAAAAGGTTACCTGTTAAAGAGATTTGCAACTTCTTCACATTCACGTGAATTATAAAACCATATCCCATTTACTTCTTGGGAAGGATTTCGATATAATAAATATGGGACCTGGACCTCGAACTCAAAATCACCCAAGAGATCCTCCACCAAATTATCTGCTTGTAGGAATAAAGTCACATCTTTAAAACAAAGGAACTAAACATAAATGCTCATATAGAGAGCAAAATCTTAACTTTCTATACCCACTTATGAGCAACATGGATTTCATGTCAATAGCTTTATTTAAATATCAAACAATAATTTTTTTTAAATCAATATGTCTAAAACACTAAATTTACGGAGGTAAAAACAAACTTTTGATACAAATTAAGTATATTGACATCTTTCATAAAATAAAGATCTGCCAAGTTCATGGTACTCAGGGAACCCTAGTAGATAGCTAGTTTTGCTGGGCAACTCTAATGGGGGTTCTCTATAGACAATTGACTGTCATCCAGAAAAAGGGGAAAGCACCATTTAAGTAACTAAACTTGATTGACCTAAAAGACGGGTTAAACGCAAGGGATTCAGCCTCCAATTTCTTAATGTCCTACTTTATACCCTCAAAAAGTACAATTATATCACATTGACTGGAGATGTTTTTTTTTGACAAGTACATTTTTTTTTTTGATAAGGTATTTTTTTTTTTTTTTGACAAGTACATTCACTGGATAAAGATTGGAGATCACTGTTTGAATACCAAGACAGAATCACTAGTCTTATTTTGTTACCTTACCTGATAAAAAAAAGACAGAATCACTAGTTACGAATAGAGTAACCACAATATCTACGATAAAAACTTAGAGATGAACTCCTTACTCCAAAGCCATAATTAGCAAGAAAAAAGGGGGTTTGGGAATCAATAAATCTCTCATTTCTCTCCAGAAGTCCTGGGACATGACAATAAACAAAAGACTAGTCATGATTACTCAGTCTTTTAGTTCAGTTGACAGAATATGTTTATTTCACATTTAAGGTCAAAAGAATCCAGTAATTTTTCAACATGCAAACTAAACACTTTATTTACAATCTCAAAGCACAAGTTCATTCTTGACCAGAGATATGGTTAATATGCTTAAGAGAGATGACTTACTTACCAGATGCTTTAAGGGACAGCCTTTATCAGTGTACAGGAAAAGTTACTGTCTACATTAGAATTTTATTTCCTCACCTGCTCAAGGAATGAGCTTCCAACCTTCTTTGTACTTTTTTGTAGGGTAACTAGTCTTTATTTTAGGCATTTCCTCCTCCTTGTTTCATCCTTTTAATTTTCTTGCAAAATAAAAATTTCAGGTGAGTGATTTTCAGTCTTTCAATGTTCAATTTTTCCCAAGAAAGTCACTTCTCTTTTTATCCTTTTTCCGTTTTGTAAGCATTCTTTTTTAAATTAGTGCTGAAATCCTACTAGCTTCAAACAAAGGGGTTGATCAAATTTCTTCATATTTACAGTTAACTATCAAGTGAAGAAAGAAAGCACTCAAAAAATTCAAGATTTGATACACCATTAAAAAAACAATTCAAAATTCGATATTAAGCCGATTTTCTATCATGTTCAATCACGAAAGCAAGGACACAAATATGTGTCTCCATTATAATAATTCTTAAAGAAAAATCAAAGTTTTTTACTTTATTGTGTCACAAAAATGTATGAGCCACTTTATCTTTTGGGACATCACCAATTGTCTGGAGAACTTCTATAAATTATAATAGCTATACCCTCGCTTCTGTACAATAGTCTAATTCGCTTAAACCGATTCAGTCAATCAATTAACTGCCCTCGATCCCGTATTAGTTGGGTCAGTTATATGAGTCCTTTGTTTCCATTCTGCTTTATTTAGGTCCACTCCATTCGTTACCGTATGTAAATTCAGATGCATGATAAACATCGGTACTCAAATGCATCTCTCCGTCTGAATCAGAATAAATATGTTTCCAAACCTTCTCTTTAAAATTGGAAGTGGATATTTCAGTACTGGGAATTCCCTAAAACTAGAAAATTCTTAAATGTTACAGTGCCGACACGAATGTACAAGCTCCTAACCAGAAAGACTCCTAGCAAACACCATTCCTAAGTTAGTGTAGCAACATCAATTAAGTCTTAATGCTAACTAATTGGTATCACCTATGTAGATCCTCTGCTTCCATTGTGCTTTGTTATTAACTAAGTCCACATTGACTCTAAGAGATCACCATCAATTGCCATTCCAGTATTTTCCTGCAAATGAGGACTACTTTATTACTATCTCTTGACACGAGTTGAAGTCAAGTTTACTAGTTCAGGATTCTCCAAAAATAACTTACACCCCCTTGAGATTCATCAACAAGATGACATACTTCACGAATTATGTTAATATGGTTCTATGTTGTTCACATCAAATAGTCAGTCAGGCATGAGCTACTACTTCATGCACTTTTTTCCACAAGGAAAAAGAAAACAAACACAAAAACTAGCCATAGAATGTATGTTTTCCTAGTCCAGCGGAGAAATGTCAAACATCTAGGTAATTACGACGGAGAACCTAAAGCATCAAACAACCTTGCAAAAGTTCCGTCAAAGATACAGCCCAAGCAGAAAGTTTTAGAACAGAAAACAAGTAACTTACCCGTATTTCTGCGGTTCATAACAATGAACTGAAACCGAGGTTGAGCACTCCTGTAATACCCCAACATAGAAATAATAAATATCTCAAAGAGCCGCACCATACAGATCAACTCATGAAGAAGAAGAATGCATTAAATCTAGAAACTTTCAATCAATTTGAGACCCCATTCAGTGCTAGTGTTCCTACTTTATTTTGCACCCAAGGGTATGTCCTAGCGGTAAATGAAATGGGAGGCAACCATGATGTCTCAGATTCAAATCCCAGTGGAGGCAAAAAAACCTAGGTAACTTCTTCCCATCTGCCTAATACTTAGTGGATAGAGTTACCCGGTACCTGTGCTGGTGGGACTCGGGAGGTAGCAGGTACCCAATGGAAAAGTCAAGATGTGCGTAAGCTGGCCCAAACAACGCCGTTATAAAAAAAACTTTTTACTCAATTAATCAACTTCGTCTCAATCTCAAGCCAGTTAGGGTCGGCTATCTGAATCTTCTACATTTTTTTCGCTCTATTGAACTCATGTTAATCTCAATACTGATATATCCTTTGACCATTAAGGCAAATTATTTCTATAAAATTTCAGCTTCTTTAAAGCTCACATTTATCCCTCTGAAGTACATATTTCTGACCATATTATATTTAAAATCTTTTGAACAAAAAGAACATGATCCACCTCAAAAAGGTTCTAATTAATCAAAAGTCTAAAACAACAATTACGCCTTACTCCCAAACAAGTTGGGATTGGCTATATGAATCCAGACTGCTGACCACGTTATTCCATTTAAACTCATTTCAGGCCAATATTATGTAGACAAAGAATCCTAAAACAGGTCAGGAAAAAAAACTAACAGAATTACAACTCCAAAAACGCATAATTACTTACCTCTTCACAACAAACAAAGATCCTTCCACATCCTTTCGACTCTGCAAAAACAAAAACACACACACACACAACATCAGTACTACAATAATAACTGCTCAAACACATGTTAATCAAGTAATCAATCAATAAACTACCCTCAATACCAAACTAATTATCTACTAATAGTTCAGACCCATTTCATTCTAATACTAACAAAATTAACCTTTTAAAAATTAAAAAACTCTTTAAAACTAATAAATATGCATTTTTTTAAGAGAAAATGAATAATACAAATAAAAGATGTAATTTTTTTAGGAGAAAAAGAATGAATATACCCATTGGCTATTATCGATATTGAAAGCGTAGAAAGTAACATGAGCTGCAGTGATTAATATTTCTTCAACGAAAGCATCGATACGCTGAAGAACGGTTAAATTAAGGAGCTTTGTGCTGTTTTGGTCCAAATTCGGCATTAATTTCCCGTTCGTAGACATTATTACTGTGTGTGTGTGTGGAGAAACCCTAGAATTGATCCCAAATTGAGGGCTCTGTTTACTGTATATTAATTTTATAATTTTATTATATTGACACTTTTGTATTTTCTATTTTTTTTCATATGTATACAGCGCTTATATCTCCTTTTGTTTTTTTTATTTTTACTTTTCTAGAAGACAGTGGGAGATTACGTTTTATGATAGTCTATAGAAAAGTATTTGAGGGGAAAAAATAAAAAATAGCTCGATTTATAAATGTTAATTAAAAATAGTCCTAGTTTTAAAAGTAATAAAAGTTTAGCCACTTTTTCGGAAATATTCTAGCATAAGATGATGCAGTTCGCATTTTTTATATATGAGCTTCCAACATGATGCGCTAGAATTTCGTAGTGTTGGAGTTCCAACATAATATGCGAGACGTTTATATGTAGGAGTTCTATAATCCCACATATTATGCTAGACTTTCCGTGTTTCAGTAAAATAATAGATATTTTTTAATGACTTTAAAAATGTTAGCTGTTTTTCGATTACCAATCTGAAAAGTGGCAAGCTCGTACTATTTTCACGAATTTGAGAGGCTATCACAGTATTTAGCCCTTATATCAAATCAATTAATGTATATTAGGCCAAATACATAGATAACCCCTTAAACTTAGTTCGAATTGTCCCACGTAAATTTTGCTACTAATCAAATAGCCATCTCAATTAGGCAGGAATATGTCTGGTGAATATAAAAGTCTAACATGACTTTTATAAAATGAAGAAATTGTTTTAATTATAAATGTATTTATAAGTTCTTTTTCAAGTTTCATCGTGACATTAAAGCCAAATAGGCTATATTTGGTTTCAAAATGACGTTAAAAGGCCATGAGTGCGGAATATACAATGAAATGCTTCATACACCATCAGGGCTAAATATTGAGAAGGTACAAAGAACCAAAAAGTCCCATTATTTTATTCAAAGTAATATGTTTTGGCTCGTTGGAATGGTTGGTTGGCGAGTCCGAAACCTTTTTAATCATTTTTTTTTGGACAAAAAACACTTTTGTACTACTTTAAAAAAAAAGTTACATAAATGAGTAAAATGCAGTATTATACTGCGAATTACTTTAACGGAAATTTTGCCGTTAAAGTAATTCGCAGTATAGTACTGCCTTTTACTTAACTTTTTTTTTTTTGTAATTCGCAGTACTATATTGCGTTTTACTAAGATGTTGGCCCAGCTATATTTTATTAAAGTTGTTCGCAGTATTATACTGCGTTTTACTTAAAACGCAGTATAATACTGCGAACAGCTTCAATAAAATATAGCCCCTTCTTCTTCCTTGTACCACTGAACCGAA